CGGCGACCCTCACCGAGCCCGGGGAGGGCCGGATCCGGCGACCCTCGCCGGAGCCCGGTGAGGGCCGGATCCGGCGAGGCGAGACCTCGCCGTCGCGACCCAAGCGACGGCGAGGTCTAGCCTCGCCTTTGTTGGGCGAGGCGAGACCTTGCCGTCGCCTGGGTCGCGACGGCGAGGTCTCGCCTCACCGGATCCGGCCCTCGCCGACCACTGCGCCCACCACCGCCGGCCCTTCCCGGCAGTGGTGGGTTGGCGGTAGCAGCGACGAGGGCTCCCTCGCCGCTGCTGCAAGTTTTTTTTTTTAAATATAATTTAATTTTTTTTAAAAAAAAGTACACATCAGTGGGCTAAACGGCGTCGTTTTTTGTTTTTAATGCTGACTAGACCTCTCCGGCGAGCCGTGTCAGCGCCACATCAGATTTCCGGCGAGCCACGTCAGCATTGGCACTAAAGTAATCGATTTTCAAAAAGGTTGGCATCAAAGTGATCCGAAAAAAAGTTATGGCACCAAAGTGATCGCCGTACACAAGTTATGGCACTTCTAGTGTACTTTTGCCCATATTCGGCCAAGTAGGATCACCTGAGGTTGCATTTGCTCATAAGAGGATCACAGCAGCAGCATCAAGCAAAATGGGACAGATTCTATCATAAAACCCTTGAATTCATTTTGAAACTTAAATATTTGGATTACTGAAATGGAGCTCACAGCACAAATAAACCCATCTGCTCACAAAAAGGGACCACCACAGATGGGTCCAAAACCATCGTTAATCCAACCAATATCTAATTAGCCATACCAACTTACCAATATCCTAGCACAATTCTAACTATCACAATCAATTTAAAGCTCCAAAACACAACTAGAACGAACAATCACAGCCCCAAGCTCCGAATACATCATTCCCCATCGGTCCCCACATCTTCCTACAGCTCTATGATTGGCATCCCATGATCTTCGATAGTAATAGCATCATTAAGGCAGAAAATGCAGTACATTATCAGCAACCAAATGATCATCCCCCAATAGAATCTCCTCTCCTTTTCTACTTTGTTGAAGGTCGGTTTCATTTGATCTTGTTCTTCACAAGAGCCTAGTAATGACTCGGCGGGAGTGGTCATCATCAATGGGGGAATCAATCTAGTTGAAGAAGCTGCAATTAGCTTGCTGCACGGTTAGAGTACCCAACATTATCCACATGAAATGCAACCCCAGTCTTAAACTTTAAATTTAAAATTCGAATTCCCAAAAATTGAGAAAAATTATACCTACCTTGATTTTTCGAAGTCCAATAATTATATCAAATGGGATAATTATACAAAAAGTCATAAATCTATGTCACGACAGCCAATTCAATCATAAACCTTTTAATTATGCCAACTTAGTCCTAAGCCTTTTGACGATTAGCCAATGTAATCCTTCCAGTCAATTTTGACTGAAAATCACCGACATGGACGCGGGCTATCTTACATGGCACAACTGAGGCCGACATTGACAATATTTGTAATTTTTTTTAAAAAAATGACTTTTTTTCCTTTTTCTCTTTTTTTTTTCCTTTTCTTTTCTTTTCATTTTTTCCTTTTTTTTTCCTATTTCCCTCCCGGTCGCCAGGCCTTGGCGATGGCCGGAAAAAAATTCAGAAAATTTAAAATAATACAAAAATTGTACACGTCAGCGCCGGCCGACAGCTGTGCCACTTAGGACAGCTGGCATCCATGTTAAAGATATTCGGCCAAAATTGGCCGAATGACTACATTGACAAATTGTCAAAAGATTTAGGACTAAATTGACATTATTAAAAGGTTGAGGACTGAATTGGACACTAAATAAAATGTCATTAGCGACAAGATGAGGATATCATCAAAACGGTCTATATAATAATCACCTAGTCTAAAAGCACGTGTAGCGGGTGGGGGAGCTGATGGAGCAATTGTCCAAGTAAACAAATTTACTTTCAACCAAAGGTGTACATATGTTACAATTTATAGCAAGAGTGAAGAAAATAATACACAAATCATTATTGACCTTAAAAAGAAATAATTACTAAAAATGTTCTAAATCTATAACATATATACCAATTCAGTCCTAAACAATTCAATTTGATCAATTTATTACTAAATCTTTTGACAATTTGCCAATATAGTCAATTCGGGCCAATTTTGGTCCGAAATTGCTAACTAGGGCGCTAGCCGTCTACGTGGCACAGTCAGTGTTGACGTAGATAATTTTTTTCAGTTTTTTTTCAATTTTTTATTTTATTTTCTTTTTCTTTTTCTTTTTCTTTTTCTTTTTCTTTTGTTTCACTGTGGTCAAGAGTCGCGAAGCCCTCGTTGACGTTGGTGAGGGTCGCGGCCCTCACCCAGCCTCGCCTAGACCATTGCAATTGCGGGCGAGGCCGACCAAAGAGGCTTGCCTCGCTCAGATCTGGGTGAAGCCAAGCGAGGGTTGCGAGGGTCGCCACCCTCGCAAACGGTCGTGTGAGGGCTTTGCAGCCTAAGGCTCATCGGCCACAGTGAGCAAAAAAATAAAGAAAAGAAAGAAAAGAGAAGAAAAGGAAAAGGAAAAGAAAAATCTTTTTAAAAAATGTCCACGTCAGCGCCGGCCGTGACTGTGCCAAATAGGACGGTCGGTGTGGCACAATCATAGTCGACGTCCACATTTGCGATTTCCAGCCAAAATTACTCTGATGGATTAAATTGGCAAAAACATCAAGAGGTTTAGTGCTAAATTAGTCAAATTAAAATGTTTATGACAGAATTGGCACAAATGCAATAAATTTAATATTTTTATTGGTAATTTTTCCCCTTGAAAATCCTAGGTGAGCTTCTTCATCGTCAAATCCCCCATAAACATAAAATGAATTTCCATGACAATTGTACAAGGACCTTTTCGATTATTCTATTAAGGAGTGAGAGAGAGAGGATCGTAGCCAGTAGCACTGTAGCCGGTGGACCTTTCTCTCTTTTTCCAAAAAATGATTTGACAGAGAAGTCAAAATGAACAAAATTGTTGTCGAACTGAAATTGTAACAAATAAAAAGTTGATGCGATTCCATTCGGATTATACTAGAATCGACAACATCTATCACGTGGATAATGAAATTAATACAACTAATTAATTTTACCTTCAGATAAAATATTATGCCTATTATTCTCATATCATTGTGCCGACAAAGACAACATCATTATTCATGCCTCACACGTCTTATTCTCCGATGTTTGACTTTTCTATTTGCGTGCTTATTTTCAGGGAGGGACAGGGGCGAAGCATATCAAATGCAATCTTTTGCGAAAATGATTGACATATCCATGAACTCGGTAGTTGGGACTTGGAAAGATCTCTTTGGACACGGTAGTTGATGGCTTGAGAAGTGGTAGTTAGGCTTGCTTCGTTGGCAAATGATGGAAGGTGGGGACTCCCTCAGCTTCATGTAGCTCGAAGATCAAGATACATCTTAAGGGAGGAGAACTGCGAAACGGATCTCAATCGTTTGATGACCCTTTGATAAAATTAAAAAAAGGGTGAATCACGTTGGTTGATCATAAAATTTTTAGGTTTTTGGGTGTTATGATATTTGTGTAGGAGTTACGTACAGATGCAAAGAGTTAGGACCGGTCACCATTCAAGGATGCGTCCCTCGATAGACCGTAGAACTGGCCAAAAAGATAATGTGAGTTTGCGTTTGTTTCGACTTAGCTAGTTTTTGTTGTTTAGTTACGTTCTTTCCTTTGAAAATAAAACATAGCAAATATTATTTGATGTTTGAATGGTCATGCGCGATACTACATGTCGATATCTTGATATTTAAAATATAATATAGGGTTTCGAATGAAATGATAGTCAAAATGTGAGTTTCGTAACTCAAGAATTCAGAAAAGTAAAAACTGAAGTCTATAGTGGTTAAAAAAGCAAAAAGTATGTATGGAATGAGAGTATGAAGCAAATTTTGTATGAAGGGTGCGAGGAGCGACCAATTACCATCGTTGTATGCACAAAGGTTTGACACCCGCTATTGATTATTCGGTTTGAATTATAACTACTCCGCACCACTTGTCATCTAAAGGTCCAAGATTGGCATGCTCATCTCTCTCCGCAATCCCTACCAAGATGCTAACTGTCAAGAAGTCTCTTCACGTAAAGTATCCTGCAATTAGGTACTGCAACACTAGTCGTTCAGAAATTCGCTCACGACATGAATGGAACTCGTGATCTCGTAAAGGATAAGTGACCCTTTATTATCATTAGACTAACCACCTTAATACCAAAAGCCCCTCTGTTGAAGCTTGCCCTCTCTATCTATTTACAGCCTGAATTTTTTCCCACTACAACTTGCACACTTCCACAATATAAACATAGAACAGTTTGCCCCACGTCTTTGCCACCAATAAAGTTTTTCTTAGAATTGTATTGCGCTCGAAAATGCCTGACCTATGAACATTTAAAGGATAATACTAGATTCTAGCAAAAAAAAAAGGATAATACTAGATCGGGCTACTAGACTCTGATTTCTCAAGTGATTTGACATATTCTCTCATTTGATAGATAAATAGGCCCGTTGACCTAAATAGTAGAAATTTCTAAGTTACAATAACATGCCGTGCAATTGCTTTTTATGTGTGATGTTTTAGTACATTTATAAAATAAATCAAAAGAATATCACATTAAACTATACTCTACCCCCATTTCGCAATCTTACGCGACGAAATGTCATACCGTCGCATTGTACAACAATATACCGTAAACCAATTACGTTTTGCGACATTATCTAGTAAACCAATTTACCATACCGTTCTTATGTCTTCAACATTACTCATATTCAAATGTATTGAGCAAAGTAGTGAAAATGATGAATTGTCCAAACTCTACCGATTTGTTATGCCATCAAATGGTGAAAGATCTCCAACTGCTGTTGCAATACTTCTGCAATTCTAATAAACAGAGGCGGTCTTTCCCCCGGTAATTTCCATGAGAAACAAGACAAGGTTCGGAAGTGGACCGAGCGGAGGGAAATTTCCACACCTTTTTTACAGCTTTCAAAGACAAATCAATACAAATTTATGACCACTTTTTTTTGCAGTATATCGATATCAAATGTACAGATGCATGCTAATTCCTCCCTCTCCCCCTCTCTTTGCCCCTCCTTGAGGAAGCTGATTTGATCATTGTATTTGATTTGGTCATGCCTTGATAAGAGGAGATGATGTTCGTGCCGGAGCGACGAGAGACTTAGTATAAGCAATGGGCAGAAAAGCTAATTTCTTGACCTTGCTCACATAAGCCCGCCTTGTGAAGTTGTTGTAGTCGTTAGCTTCGATTTCGTCCAGAATCTGACGGTACAGCAACAGAGATGCCAATACCTGCATTACCAAACCGAGACATATCATCACCAGATCCATCACCCGAAATGAAAGAAAGTGGGCTTGTAGAGAATTAGACGAGCCGTTTGGTAATTTAGCTTCGCCTTATTTCAATCAATAGAAAGGTTTAGATGGCTGACCGGCCATCTACTGGCTTCATTCAGCTGGGTCACTCCTTTCTCCGCCTCATCGAAGAACATCCTCGCCCTCCTGATCTGATTCTTCATGAAGTACTTCCATTTATCTGTGACCTTCCCTGCGAATATGTCATCATCTGAAAGTCCCGCCAGGGCTAACTCATCTTGTGGCAGATAAATCCTTCCTCTTCTTGCACTGGAAAATGGACATATCAAGAAAATCCGTAATCTAAGGGTGCTGACAGTGATATACTTATGATTGACCATTGTCAAACCAACTGAAGGGTTGTGAACATTTGGAGAGAAAGAGAGCAAGAATCATATGATTTTTTGTGTTCGTAAATGTGACCAGACATAGCCCTTTCCTACTTGAACCATTCCTCAGAGTGCTCCTTTTTCATGGAATAAAATGCAATTTTACCATAGACAAATTAAGGCTCTTAGGGGATTGAAGAAGTCATGAGTTTTTAGTTATTCACGATAGCCCGAATACTCAAATTAACCAGGGGACTTTCTCTTAGCTGTCCTCATTATTGGATCGTTAGTGCCTCTGGTAAGACCTACTTTTATTTCACAGCAATACATTCTTGACAATTTTAGCAAAACATGTATTACTTAAAGCATATAAGAAATAGGATGGGTCCGAACTTACTCTTCGCCGACATCCCTGAGAATGTTGGTTAGCTGATTAGCTATTCCCAAGGCCAATGCAGCATTATAGACACTCTCTGTTGTTGCCTGGGAGTCAGGTGCGATTCCCATGACTGGAACGCTCATCAAACCGACAGTACCTGCCACATAATAGCAATAGAGATATAGCTCGTCAAAGTTCTTGTATTGTGACTTCCTGAGGTCCATCCTCATCCCTTCAGTCATGTCTTTAAATGGCTGCAATAACAAAAGCAAAACCATTTGTCAGAGTTTCAGAAATACAAAGGCCACAGCGGCGTGCTGCCTTGACACTAGTTTAAACAACCCAAATGAGTTCATATTCCTAAGATGTTCCACATATAACTGTACTCGCAGCTGCTCCCCAGCACTCGCAGCTGCTCCCCAGCCATATCCTAATCGACAGAACATGAAGATATGCATCTAAAGAGTTCACTTGGAGACGAGAGAGAATGAGCCACCCCGATACGAAGAAAATTATGGCATTTTCATGAAAAGCTTCGACATGATTCATCAACAAAAGATTACTTGAGAAAGATCCAAGACCTGAATGTCAACCGGGAATTTGGCAACAGTATCTGATAAAGCAGCATCAAACATATCGAATGGACGCCCTTGAAAAAGTTCTTCCAACCTCGATTCCCACCTATCTAAAGCAGTAGGCGTTATGTGAGAAGCATTAGGCCCATCTACAAGTTCATCTGTCCTCCTGCACCAAACTGCAATTGACAGTTTTAAGAACGAGAACTACATCTATGAACAAAAACATCCCTGCGCACTAGTGCAGAAGTTATATATAAAAATAAAAAAAAAGTTCACATCAATTTCAAAAGAGACATATTAAAAGAAACTGCATGATGTAGGGCCAAATCAAGAATAATTTGACCATCCACTATGAGAAGCGTATGTATATAGACTAAAGAAAAAGTCAACATCAATGAAGGATAACAGTATTCTAGTCGCATACACAAACTTCAGCCAACTAAAGTGCAACTGACTCGAAGTATCAAAATTTCAAATGCCAAATATAAACAAAGAAACCGCAGATTACTAAATGAAGAAGAAACCACCAAATTCGTTGCCTTTGACAGGGACCTGGGGTCAACTTCGCCTCAGGCACTGAAATTCCTTTTCTAGTTTTGCTTTCTACGTGATCAGCTAATTCTTCCTACCATCTAATAAGAGATGATTACCCTCCACAAGCTAAAAGAATCTCTTTGAAACAGGCCAAAAAAGTAAAACCTGTAAAGCTATGGAGACTTTCAAAATAGTAGTTTCAAAAAAATGAGGCCACGGCATCAAACCCACCATATATCGCCCATATAGCTCTTCGCCTTTCCGGAGTCATGAGCAACGTCCCTGCAAACCCAAAAATAAGCAGATAAGAACGTCACCAGATTATACCGACTCAAAACCAAATCAATTTCTGGAAGCAACAAAGAGAGAAACCCATAACGATATCAAAGGATTTTGATAAATAATACGTATGGAAAAAGCAGATGAAGAAGGATGATTGGCTAACCCAAGTAAAAAGTCTTGGCATATTCAGCGCAGACTTCGCCGCATCTGTCGTACGCATCGCTCAACAAGCTCAAAGTTCCCGGAAGAACAATATCAGGTTTGACCTCCAGATTGGCATTTGACCTCAGTCGCTCGCTCACCAGAGCCGCCTGCTTCAGCACCACGCTGTTCACCCTCTGCTCCGACGACACGGGCGCGGCAGCTTCTTCTTCCCCCGCTGCCGGGCTAGCAATCAAGCTCGAGGCCGTGCTCGGGCTGCTTATCGAGCACCAACTCAGTTTCTGGCTTCTACCCTTCTTTGTCCCGTGGCTGAACACTCGCAGTCTGTCTCCAAGTACGAATCTTGACGAATCTGAGAAGCGAAACGAGTCGACAAAACCGAGGCTCGTGGGTATGGTCCCTGGGCTGAGGGTGGTCGCAACCCATGTTAATGTCATGGGCATGTTGCCAAACTCGAATGAATTCACCTCACTTCACTGCACTCTGTGACTGGAGGATCAAGAATTGCTGCGTAAGATCGAGCTGACCCAGCACGAGAATGGAGCTCTGGCGCAGTAAAAAACCAAGCTCCGTCAACAGCACTCTGCGATGAAATCAGAAGGGGTAAGAAATGCCCAACAGATAATAAAAAAGAAGGAAAAACAAGATCGTTAGAAACAAAGAACTCACTCACATGAACGGCAATCTGTCACATGATTAATGGGCCTAAATCTTCGAAGAGACAGACAAGGTGAAAAAACACGGCTCGTGCTGGTTTAAAGGGACGAATGAAAAAGTTTTCTTTTCTCTCTTCCCCCCACTTTCCTTCTCTGTCGAGCGAAATCGCACTCGCCCTCGCACCCCTCTCTCTCTCTAACGCGTTTCAATCACTCCCAACACCAGCGCAATATAATGGCCAGAAAAGATGGAGGGGTCACTGAAGGAAAGCCAGCATACGCCATACGTGATGAAATCCAATGCGGTGACATGGTGGAAGAAGCCCACTTGTCCTCGCCACACGCACCCCCTTGAATCGAACCAGTGGCTCCACTGAATCCCGCGAATTGATTAAAAAAAAAAAAGCGCGCGGGGGGCTTCCAAGCATGAACGTCACAGCAAAGAAAAGATGGAGAGAAGAGAACAAAAAAGAAAAGGGAAAAAACTAACAACCGCCACGCTCTGGAGTGTTCGAGACTATCGCGACGTTTCGCTTGCCTCTTTGCTTTCTCTGCTCCTGTTCTCCGTCTTTTCACACAAAATTTTCTCCCCTTCCTTTTCCTCCCCCTCTTCTGTACTTTTGCCGGGGGAGGGAATGAATCTGAGCCCACTTTCCTGTCCTGGTATCTTCAACGGCGATTGGTTCAGCCCTTTCAAGCTCCGTTGGACCAGTGGTGGGTCAAGGTTTCCGGGTCGGCATTCAATCAAATGCCGCCGGGTGAATCCATATTTTGAGCAAAGGACAGGAGGGTCGCATCCCCCCGATCAAGGGGCACTGTAATAGAATAGAATAGCGGAAGAAAAGGGAAGAGGAAGAGATTAAAATGTGGCGACAGACAGTGTATCCGTCCAGACATGGAAGCGAAGGACGCGTGGAGGAGGTTGCCCAATGAGCGGAGGATAACGTTATCAAAATTTGGCAAAGTATACATGGATGGGGACAGCGACGATAAGGAGGGTGGGCACGTTACACGTGTCCTCCCCTGATTGATGGGTTCGACGAGGACAAGATCTTGGTAAGTGGGAGGAGGGGGAAAATTTCATTTTGGTATCCAAAGTGGGGGTCTTTTCTCAATTTAGTACTTAAAGTGGATATAATCTCAAATTGATATTCGAAGTGCCCATTCAATCTCAATTTGGTACCTGAGTTCGCCGGGCGGTCAAATGTTCGTCGGCCGGCAGGGAATTTACCGTTCCGGCTACAGGAACAGTATTTTTTTTTACTTTTTTATTTTTTTTCTTTTTTCCTTTTTCTGTTTTTTTTCTTTTCCTTTTCTTTTTTCCTTCTTCCCTCCGCCGGCTATGGCCGTGGCCGGCGGAGGTTGCCGGCGTCGGGCGAGGGCCGCCCTCGCCTGGGCTGGCGAGGGTCGCCCTCGCCAGCGTCAGGCGAGGGCCACCCTCGCCTAGGCGGGCCGACCCTCACTAGATCCGGCGAGGGCGAGGGTTGCCCTCGCCGGATCTGGCGAGGGTCGCCCTCGCCGGCGTCGGGCGAGGGCGGCCCTCGCCTGGGCTGGTGAGGGTCGCCCTCTCCTACGTCGGGCGAGGGCCGACCCTGGCGATGGTTGAGGATGCAGCCGAAGAAGCGAGAGCAGTAGGCGAGAGAAGAGAGGGAGTAGGAGAGGCAGACGAAATGGGAAGCCACGAACTGGTCCTGCTCGAGCCCCATGACGATGATCTGGGCGTGCAGCTGGTGGATGTCGGCGGAGTTGTTGCAGGACTTGAGGAGGGTGACGATGGACGGCAGCTTGGCAGAGGTCGCCGGCATCGGCCCTCGCCGGCGTCGGGCAACCCTCGCCAGATCCGGCGAGGGCCGACGCCGGCGACATCTGCCGACCACTATGGCCGGCGGAGGGAAGAAGGAAAAAAAAAAGAAAAGGAAAAGGAAAAGAAAAAAAACTGAAAAAGGAAAAAAGAAAAAAAATAAAAAAAAAATCTTTTGTTTCGGTGGCAAGAACAATAAATTCTCGCCGGCGTGAGCATTTGACCGGCCGGCGAACTCAGGTACCAAATTGAGACTGAATGGGCACTTTGGGTACCAATTTGAGACTATGTCCACTTTGGATATCAAATTGAGAAAAGGCCCCCGCTTTAGATACCAAAATGAAATTTTCCCTAAGAGGAGGGGTGGTGTGGGGGGCCCCCTTCCCCTCCTCCTCCGTGTGCTCATCCTCCGTGCGCTCAGTGTCTATTGGAAACGGTAGCCTCCTCTTGCGAGAATAGGGGAGAAAAAAACAAAAAGAATTTGCTCCATTTCATACTAGGACTTTCGAACTTAGCCCGTAAATTAGGGATTTGCATGATTCAAGGTTTTACCCTGAATATATAGATTATAGATTCTAAGATATGTAGGATATATTTCAATTTTCAAAAATTAAGAAATTTATTTTGACAAGGTTCCAAATTCTAGGTAGGTGGAACTGGAACCTGAAACAAGTTTTTTGTGTTTTTTCTTGATCTATGTCTTCGCGTGATCATGTGGTATTTCATGGTGTTCGATAATTCTATATAATCTGAAACTACTAATTTGAGCTTTCATTTTATGACTTGTTAATATTTCATATTTTTCGTATGTTTAAATATAAGTTGTGGTTAGTGGATTGTAACAACAAGTGGTGGTTATTAAAAGTGATGTTTCACTGCAATTATTCAATTAATAATACAGGTGGAATCTGGGTAGACCCTAGAACCGACCTTGGAACCTGTTGACAGGATAAGTTCTAAGTTCCAACGAGTAAGTTTCAGGTTCCAAAAAATGAGAAACTTGTACCCGAGGGTCAGTTTCAAGTTTCAAATGGAACCTGTAAGGAACTTAGATTGGAACCTGAAACCTCTCATCCCTACCGCAAATGATAGGTCTAACTCGAGATAGGTCCGGAGAAATTTTGTGTTTTACATTTTTGGAATGCTAGTATTTTTTTTTTCAACTTTGCTCTTGTTGAACTTTCATAATTTCAAAAATGCCCTCACCTCGAGTGACGTCGCCGGCAAGTCGGATTTGGCTAGAACTGGCACCGACGGCCTCATCCGAGGTCGCTCAGCCCCCAGCGAGCTTAGGTGGCCCTCACCTGAGGTTGTCCAATGGTGCTAGATCTAGCTCGCCACCCACTTGCCGGCCGCCTAAGCCTTTTGCCAGTTTGAGGGTTTTTTTTTATTTTAAAAAAAGTCATTTATGGAGTGTGATTTTCCCAAATAATATTTGAACCAAAGTTGCTTTCCAATTTACTTTTAAATCACAATTTACCAAACACTATTTGTATTTTAAAAAACTCTTTTAACCTAAATTCATTTGCATTTTCTCAAATACTTTTCCCAAAAATCCAACCAAACGCAGCCTTAATGTATATGATCATGGATTTTCATTTGGTACATCAACGGTGTAAAAAAATCAATACACAAGCAGGTTTCGGGCACTGACATGTAGACGGTTTTTAGTTTTAATAAATGGGTCGATTCCATTAACATATGAAAATTTATACTTCATGATTACATGTGCAAAAAAAAAATTCCACGTGGACGTTGTACTTTATAAAAATCCTTAAATTATACCCTTCAAAGATTAGGTATATCTAAAGTTAGATGCTGAGTTTTTGCAGAATATAGAATGTAAGAGAGAGACGACCATACTAATATATGAACTATCTATCATGGTTTTGCATCCTGCATGTTCCACCTGCTATGGTCAAATAATTACTACTTTCAGCTAGAAAATATTAAAAGGAGAAGAAGAAGTCACGAGCGGATGCATGCGCAATTTGTTAATTTATTGGATTACGAGGAAGAAGACTTTCTACATCTATTCTTATGAGATGTGGACGTCATAGATGAATATGTTGACGGGGTTGAGGACACTTGTGGGAATTTGTAAGAGGATTTTAGACCTTTTGGCCTAATGTTTATCCTATGGTTGCTTCGAATATTCATGCATGTAGCATAAGGGAAAACAACCCCCAACGTGGGGATTTTCATGCATGTAGCTCAAAGTGAGCTTTATTTCATATAAGGACATGTAGTGGTCAAGTCAGTTTTAAATAAGGGCTTGAAATCATCGGCCGGTGATAGGGGTGTAAACGTTTCGGTTCGGTTCGGTTTTCTTGAAAAACCGAACCGAATCGAACCGTTAAGGGTGTCTCCTTGAACCGAACCAAATAGGAACCGAACCGAATTGGAACCGAACCGATAAGCCGATTTGGTTTGGTTTGGTTCGGTTTGGTTTTCGGTTTCTTCTTCTTTTTTGTTTTTTTTTTTTGCTTTTTTATTCATGGCTTGGTTTTCTGTTTTTATGAAAAAAATGTCACGATAATTTTTTATGATAATTTTTTGATAATAATATGCATTTATGATAATTTTATGATAATTTTTTATGATAAAAAATTAAGAAAGCTCTAGAAATTTCATCACGTTGTAGAAAAAGATAATGGCTTCAGTAGATTATGTATACTTAGTTTGATCTATGCATAGCTAATTTAAGAAGAAGAAGAAGAAAGAAACCAGGAAAATTTTGATAATATGCATGAATTGGCATGATAATTTCTAGTTCTTGATAATAAAATGTATTTATGATAATTTTAGATGGTTTTCTCCCTATCAATATTCACTGTTAGCCTCCTATTTAGACTATGAATTTACTGTCTTTATATGCCATCCGATTGCCAAAGTAGCCTATATCTCCTTTCCCAAGAAGCCATTTTAAAACGGCTCAAGTTCTTGATAAACAGTCGGTAATTGAATTTATGAGAATTTGACAGGAGTGCATGCACTCTAAGCATCTGAGAGGGCTACATTTGACATCTGTTCCAACTACTCAAAAAGGTGAAATTCCAATAAATTTCTTCTCCAACATAAGAGGGATAGTACTCAGAGAGGAAACAGAGCAACAGATTGTTGTCCTCGAAAAGACCTTAGCAAGATTTTGGTAAGTGAAATTACGTAGGAGCAGCACGTGCTCTTTGATTATAAAACCGAACAAAAACCACATGAATGGATAGATTTAACTAAGTAAAGATCAGTACTAGACTGTTAGAGCAGCCGTAGCACTCACAGACAATGAACTGAAACTTGAACTACACAAAAGCAACACCAACCTAAACAAACAAACACCTCATATCCATCCCAGCCATATTGATTGAGAAGTTTACTTAAGAAGATACAAACATGCTCCCAAAGAAAGGGATAACATTCAATTCACATTTGATAAGAAGTTTCAAGAGAAAGATGGAAATCCATTTTCAGCAGCAAGGTTGGCCACCACCTTCACAGCACGAATCTGTACATTGGCATCAAAGAAAACCCACTGCATATGCAGTACAATCAAATTCTTAGGCACCACATATAACCATGCAATTTTCATGACAGCAAAGGCCTTGACAAAAAGACCAGGACTAGCTAAGTCATAGCTAGAATATACCTCAACCCGTGGCTGTCCAGGAAGCAGATTTGCTACAGCAGTGCCTACCACTGCATGACCAGCTTCATGGCGTGCAACAACTGCCTTCTCGCTTCCTTGCAACTTTACAGTTTTCTTCTCAATACCCTAGTACAGGTTAACAAAGAGACCATTTATCTTACCAAACAATTACAAGCTTCTACACGCTTGTTGGTTCATTATCCAACATTATTGGAACCAAGAGACGTCTATTGAATCATTTGCAATCTCAGAGGAAATGAAGTATGAAAGCCACGATTATAATAAAGCAATAAATCTAATTAAAAACATCTATGATCAACCATACATCGCCATCCTTCAAGAGCAATTACTTCACTCAGAGAAGTTGGGTGATCACAAACGTAACAGCCTAAAGCCAAATCTTTTTCACTGGCAAGACAGATGGATACTAAAACACTCACATAGGTAAATCGCGTCAAACATTGTTTATGAGCATAGCTAAATTGGGCAACCAAAACATGTAACTCCTAAATCATCTCACAAAAATGCTTACTGAACATCTGCCAGAGCGACAAAAGCTCCGACAAACCAAGATGCAAAGAAGCTATTGACAAGAACCCAAAGCGGGTGATTGAAACACTTCTTGCTTACACCAATACAATCTAGAAATGGCAACATTTCGCAAAACCAATGCACTTGATCAACATAAACAGCAAATGCGGGCACGACATTATCCATTCTAGAAACCCCTGGTCGACATACAGGAAGATCAAGAACACGCAAGATAGTGGCCCTGTTCATCAACTTCAGATCCATGAGGATGCAGAAACCCACGATTCTGAGATCAAACATCTCTCAGTTATGACAAAAACAAGCACGACGGCGCAAGCTACGGAATCCACCCACCTCACGCTTTGCATTTTCACAGTGAGAAAATGCATACAGAAGAACGGCCCCCACTTTGCCAAGAAACAGAAATCCACGCCGATCCCATCGATCATCATGCAAAGACAACCAGCGGCAAACGGAATTCAAAAGCGAAAAAGGGAAGAGCAATTACACCCATTAGAGGGAAAACAATCAGCAGGAAGATCGAGAAGCAGAGAGAGAGAGAGGGAGAGAGGTGACCTGTAGGAGCTGAATCTTGGACAAATTGTTGGAGGCTTCTTGCTTTGAGCGACGCAGGAGATGGCTTCTTGCTTTGAGCAATGCAGGAGTCGGCGTCGAGAGAGAAAGCCCCAAAAGCTTTGAGTCATCGCCTCGGGCAAGAGCCCTGTGACGAGCAGGAGAAGGAGAAGGCGGAGTCGGAGCGCGATGATTCGCCGAGGCCGGGGACGTAGAGGAGGTGCAGCGCTTGCGAGATGTCGTCCTCGTTCAGTCGTTCTGACCCTATGAGAGAGAAAGCACCAGATGCAGCGCGAGCGAGATAGCCCTAAAGCAAAGGGTAAAAACCGAAGTGTTTATTTCAGTTCTGTTCAATCCGAACCGAACTGAAACAAACCAAACTGAAAAAAAAAATTGGTTAATTTTAATGATCCGAACCGAAACCGAATCGAAATGCACGAAATTTTCGGTTCGGTTCGTATCTCGGTTCGGTTTTCCGGTTCGGTTCTGACACCCCTAGCTGGTGAGCACCTGATTTTTCTGGCAGAAGTGCTCAGACCCTTATTTGAAACTGATTTGTTCACTTCAGGCTCTTATTTGAAAGTGATTTGTCAACTTCAAATCCTTGTTTACAATAAAATTCATTTTGGACTCTCTTTTAAGAAAATGGTCCTACTTAGTGTCTTTTATTTGTAATTGTTCTTTTAGTATATATAAAAATGGAAGGAATAGGGGAGAGTAATCGATGGAGCACTAGGAAGTAAGTCGTGTGGACAGGAGCGGACCGACTCTCCATTTGTCACGAAGTGGTGGGGGGGAAATTGTATGGGAGGATAAAAAGAGCACACACCCCCCACCCCACCATTCCCATCGCTTTTGCTCTGCCCTGCCTTCGTCCACGCAATTTGCCAAGTGCGCTCGGGGTCACCTCGTTGCCACGCAGGCCTTCTGCACTTTGTTTGACTTCTGCTTCTTTCTTTACTCCTTTTCTCGAGACTAGTTTTCACATTGCTGCAGCTGTCATCTCTCTCTCTCTCTCTCTCTCTCTCTCTCTCTCTCTCTCTTCGTTGTCGTTACTTGGGTAATGGTCGTGAACCAGCAGTCCTCCGATTCGTGTAGCCGAGGAAACGAAACGAGGGAGACGAGGAGGATCCCACAGCCGTATCTGTCGTGTTCTTGGCAACAACGAAAGTGGACGACCATTGGGTACGTCGATTTCGCAGCACTTGGGACAAATTTTCTTGTCCTCAGATTGATTCTTATGTTTCGTTGTGACCATGCATCAGGAGCATCCAGAGGACAAAGAAACATAGTGACATGCGTGCTTTGTCGAAAGGAACGTTTGTTATGGGGAATAAACCTGGTGTGGTTCGAGTTATAGTTAGGTTTAGGGGCCTCAAGCCCTCGGACGAACTGGGACATGACTGCACGTGCATCGCCTGCCTTTTACTTGCCAAGCCTGTGTACCGATTGCCTAAACTGGTGCAGAGCCTGTGGGGCATAGCAAGTGCAAATGTGCGATCATAGCATGCACCGATACTACTGCATGTCACATGATGAGAAAAGGCCTCACTATCAATGGAAGATGATAATGGGTGCCGTTTGCATCAGATAGGACAGTACACGAGCATCGTATGTCGATTTGAGTCTCTACAGAAATAGTTGCTGGAGGCTATCGTCTTGATGATTATTCGAATACGGCGAGGGAATGATATACTTGTGATTTAGTGATTTTAGCCGGTTACTTTAAAATTGACGTCCTTGAACAAAAAACTCTGTTCCCAGTGGATTGAATTGATTTCTTTCGGGAAAATTATCAAAAAAGTCCTAAACCTTTTGTAATTGTGCCAATTCAATCCTAAACCTTTTTTTTTTTTGCCATTTCAGTCCTAAACTTTTTACAATTATGCCAATTCAGTCCATCAGGCCACTTTTGGCCGGCCAGCTGACTTAGCATTGTTTTATTTTTTATTTTTTACTTTCTCTCTTTTTTTTTTCTTTCCTTCTTCCCCCTGGCCGGATTGGCCAGGAGGAGGCTCGCCGGCGAGGTTACCTTGCCGGCCATGGGCAAGGCCGACCTCGCCGGGCATGGGCAAGGTTGAGCTCGCCCAGTGACGGCGAGGCCTCGCCCAAATCTAGCGAGAGGGTGAGCTCGACCTCGCCATCGCTGGGCGAGGTCACCTCGCCGGCAAGCCTCCGGCCAGGGGGAAGAAGGAAAGAAAAAAAAAAGAAAAAAGAAAAAAGAATATTAAAATAATGCCACGTCAGCCGGTCGGCATCCACGTTAGCGTCGGCAGGCCAAAAGTGGCCCGATAGACTGAATTGGCACAATTGCAAAAAGTTTAGGACTGAAATGGCAAAAAAAAAAGGTTTAGGACTGAATTGGCATAATTGCAAAAGGTTTATGACTTTTTTGGTAATTTTCCCGATTTTTTTCCTTTCTTTTTTTGCCTTTCAACATTGAAGTTTTGAAAACCCATCACGGATTACTACTTTTCTTGGGCCTTCACACAACCCATTTTTGAGATCCTCGAGGATTATGACCTAATTTTATTGACTAGGCTTGGGTTTTCCATTAGCCCAATTTGGTGTCTGTCCGGAGTATCGAGAAAGGGTACTCCAAGAGCCCGCCCATAGATTGTGATGGCGAAAAGGCCCACCACTCATTTAACACCTCTTGCTCTAACTGCGTCTAAACACGTTCGAATCAACTGCACAACTGTACAACTCCACCGATCAAATAAAATAAGGAAAAATGATGATCCTTAAACTTTGATTCAATATGTAATATAGTCCTTAAATTTTTAATTTGTTCAATGTGACCGCTAAATTTTACCCCAGTTTGCAATGTCAATGTCATCCTCGAACCTTCAATTTGTTTAATGTAATCTTTTAACTTTTGATACATATTTAATCTAATTTCTAAACTGTATAAAATTGTTCAATATTGCCCATAAACTTGAATTAATGGAATGATAATATTAAATATTTTCATACAATTCAAAAACTAACTTGAATATGTACAAAAAAATTTAGCGATTACATTGAATAAATTAAAAATTCAATGCCATATTACGCATTAGGTTAAAATTCAAGGATCACATTCAGCAAATTAAAAGTTCAAAAATCACATTACACAATAAATTAAAGTTTAGAGATTATTCGTGTCGTTATTCCTAAAAAACTAGACCTTTTAAGTATTTTAGAGAGAATTCAAGATTTTATATAGTACGGAAAGGAGTAAAAGAAGGGAAAAACACTTCCTCTCGATCGAGTGAAGGCAACGCAAGGGAAGTGTTGGCTCCAGGGCGAGCCCAACAACATGGAGGAGGGAGACGGCGAGGAAGAGGGAGGTGTTGAGAGCTTGTTGAAATGGGGTTGCGAGGTCGGAGTGTCCGACTCTTTCCCTCCCAAGACGGCGGCGCAGCCTCGTACCGTGTCTTGTCTCGGCCACACCCTCTCCGTCTCCGACTTCCCCGAAGCAGGCGGGTATGTCGATGCTGTGTTGCCTTTCGTCTGTTTTCAGTTGCTAGGACACGACCGCTTTCTTGGGTCTCCTCAATCCCATCAGTTTTCCATATCTAGCGACTTGATGTAATAGGACGATGCTTTGTATTTGCAGGAGAGGGTTGGGTGCAGTTCGTGATGTTAGGAGAGGTGAAATGGTGTTGAAGGTTCCTAAATCGTGCTTGTTGACCACGGAGAGGCTCTTGATGGATGATCAATGTCTCTCTGCTGCTGTCAAGAATTGTCCCTCTCTCTCCTCCGCTCAGGTGATCATGCTTGGAGTTCGATATCACCCTTTTCATCAGTAAAAGCCTATGGATATCCCACACGACGCGAATGCATTGAGAAACTCAAATAGGAATATAACATGACAGTAAAATCAATACAGTTGAAACAGACCTGCAGTTACATGTTTCGACCCCCATTTGTTTATGAAAACAACTTTTCATCATATTGGACTAAATTGACGATGACACGAGGTGATGCAATTAGTTGACACCAATACAATGGAGCGAAACTAACTGGCACCCTATCGTAGTATTTTTCTTTTCCCTCCTGATTCAAATTGTGTAGTTGATCAAAGATTCAGTATCAGAGTATGCTGCTGAATATCTTAATTCGTGTTTATTTGATTGTTGCGTTTTGTTATGCAGACTTTGACTGTTTGTTTGCTATATGAAGTGGGTAAAGGGAAGAAATCGTGGTGGTACCCTTACTTAAAGAACCTTCCCAGAAGTTACAGCACACTTCCGACTTTCAGGCAGTTTGAGGTGCAAGCTTTCCAGGTTCAACTCATCTACTTGCACTTACAGTTGCAATTTCTTGCGTCTCTTTTGTGTGAATTTGCTTTGTCTTTGTTTGGAAATGGTTTCCACATGTTGATAGGTGGATGATGCGATTTGGGGGGCCAAGAAGGCCAGATGGAAAGCCGAGGCAGAATGGAAAGAAGCTCGTGCACTTATGGAGGAACTTAAGTTTAAGCCTATACTTCTAACTTTCCAAAGTTGGCTTTGGGCTTCTGCAACTGTGAGGTTACTTGTTCTTTTCTTGCACAGTTGATGTTTCATAACTTGTTTGTTCATACATGGATGTGGTGGGGTCTTCTCCTCTCCCACAACTTGGTTTATTAGATCTAATTTTTGGACAAACTGTTTTGGCCTTGTGCTACTGCAAGTCTGGAACTGAACACTTTCGTTATGCTTCTCCGTACTTGAAAGTTATTTAGCTGCAATGTCATGCCCCCTAGGGCCAGAGTCAATTTTCGTTTTGTGTTTCTAGCTTCTTCATTTCAACATATTAAAACTTTGTAATCTTGATTGTATTCTAGATATCCTCAAGGACATTGCACGTTCCATGGGATGAAGCTGGATGTTTATGTCCCGTGGGGGACCTGTTCAACTATGCTGCGCCTGGAGGGGATTTGGCAGAAGCAGACAATATAACTCTTACAAGTTCCCTGCAAGTTGGATCTTTGTGCTGTGAGGAAGCTGAATATAACTCTAAACTAGAGCAGTTGGACACTCTTCCTCAGCGATTGACAGATGGTGGATTTGAAGAAAATGTTAACGCATATTGCTTCTATGCTAGACAGCATTATGTGAGAGGCGAACAGGTACTATGACATTTGTTGCATCACCTTAAAGTGTATACCTTACAGTGTATGTTCTGATAAAGCAGCATCATCTTGTGATTTCTATGAGAGAATCAAAGTAGTCCGTGCCTTCTTTTTCCTCACTTTGGCTTATAGTTTCAGGATGCATTAAATGCAAGTTCTGTGTAGCAAGCTTTCCGATTATCTGTTTCAAACTGTATGTTGTAGTTCCTGCATCTGTCCTTCCTCAGAAAAATTCTTGCTTGTCATCCTTCTGTCTTGACTTGGTGTCACACCATGTGCAAACTCATCATAACACTTGGGGGTGCTGAAATTCTGGACTACTCTTAGCAGTTTTGTTGGTGATCAGTGAAGTGGAGGGTGAGATTGGTTTAAGAGAACTTCTCTCTTAATACTTTGTGGATAACTTACATTGTTTGATCACCAAGGTCCAGGCCTGGCTTCCAATAATAACTTAGTGGAATTGGTCTTCTTTCTGTTATGCTTAGTGAATGCTGGCTGCATGTATCTGGTTTGAGATATCTATATTGAAATTTTGTTTAGTTTGAAAATTACATCTTCTTTGACATTAGTTCTAGGCTATTATCAGTTTAACAGAATTCTAGCTGTATATTTTGATAGTTAGAGGGCAATGATACAGGACTACGTCATAGTTTTTTCCGATTAGGCAGGGTTGGCTATATGGATCATCTTATTCTACAGTTCTCTTTCTAAAACACGTCTTATTTAAAGTCTACACATTTCTGACCAAAAAACAGTGTCTAAATGGTGTAGGATCATTTAAAGCGTTTCTTATACGGTTGGCTATTTGAGGGAAAAACCTCTCTCTAATTTTAGTTCCAAAAAGCCCTCCATTGGTAACAGTTGCACTTTTTGATGTTCTCTATTTCAATCTTTTCATTTTTTTGTAAAACAAAGTGTTGAATGCACAAGCTTTCATGGTTTCCTCTAGATATTTAAGGTCCTGGATTTTACTTTCATTCTTTTTCATTGGGTTTTGGTTCTCTTTCAATTGCTTTTTTAGAAAGCAGTTTCTTCTTTGTTATGATATGGACTGTAGGCTGTATCAGACACTTGTTTGCAGTTTCCATTTCTTAGGACAGAACCTCTTATCTGCATTGCAAATCCCCCTTTCAAATACAGGGACTGCTTTCTGACCTCAACATTCGCAAATTTTCAAATAGGATTGTGTTTATTTCTTGGAAAATCAATGATTTGAAAATTATCTTCGGAAATTTGATTGTTAGTACCTCTCCATTTGGCCTTCTACTCCAACTGATGCTTGCCCATAATTTTTACTGGCTCTTGGTTTGTTTGAAAGAGGCTGGCAAGTTCAACTTGACCCTCATTCACAAAAGAAACTTCCATGCAACCACAAGCCAGATCAAAGTAACTTAGAAGCCAGGTGTATATACCACTTAACATCTAGTAGTTCTGCAATTTCTGTAGCATCCACTTTTGGAGCACAAGATAAAGGCCCTCAAGCCTCATTTTTCTTGTAGGACTAATTTTGGATATTCCTCCATGTGTCGCTGTGGGACAATCCTTGGATCATTTTGTGTTGTCTCCCTCCGGAAGTTGTACACTTTCATTACCAATTCACAGTTTTGCTAGAATTTTTGCACTTGGCATGTGGATGTGGGCATTTGACTACTTAGTGCATCTTACATACTGTATTAGATATTGTAGAAATTACTTAAGCTTCAGAGTTTCACTCTGCCGGTAACGTAAGTCAGTGAAGAAAGCTCAAGCCCAAATTACCCCTTGAATATGTATGCACATCTGTGGTGTTTATAGTGACAAATCTTTTTTAAGTAGCGGTTAGATGTAGTTATCTTACTTTCTTGATAGTTGCCATTTGTTGTTTTATTCTCCAACCTAGCAGTTGGATTTGAAGCCCACGCTTGCAGAGTATCTTGTCTCCCTATGTTTTTTGTTCAATTCTCTCCATTAGGTTTGATAATGTCAAAATAACTGCTGTTGTAACTTCCTTTAAATATTGTATGGACCTAAAAATGAAAATGTTCAGTTTGAGGTATAATGGCTGAGAGCTGGCCCTAGTCAAGATAAAGTCGAAACAAAACAAAAAAAAACCATCCAGTCTGGCCTTCTTTTATCATGTTAATAGGTCAAACATAGTCTCGGTGCCCCTTTTCAGCCAGACCATTCTGTTTGGTCGAATAATCAGTATGCTTGGCCATATCATACTTTGCTCTTCTGAGGATGAGGGCAATATACTCTCTAACGGTGTCCTGTCATATGCAGATTCTCTTGAGCTATGGTACATACACTAATTTGGAGCTGCTGGAGCATTATGGTTTTCTTCTCGACAACAATCCAAACGACAAGGTATACATTCCCATCGAACCTGGGGTGTCTTCTTGCAGCTCATGGCCTACAGAATCTCTGTACATTAATCAAGGTGGTGAGCCTTCTTATGCACTGTTGTCCACGTTGCGACTATGGGCCATCCCTTCAAACCAGCGGAGATCTGTGGGACATCTGGCATATTCAGGGTCTCAACTCTCTCCAGAAAATGAGATGCGTGTTATGCACCTAATGTTGAAGTGTTGCAATAATGTTCTTCAAAACCTGCCCACTACAATTGAAGATGACCAACGTCTCCTATGTAGCCTGAACCAGGTGGATGGTATCGAAACCCCTGTGGAGCTTTTTGACGTGTTTTTGAAACTTGGAGCTGAAGGCTGTGCCTTTTTAGAAAGCCTTGGCCTTCAAAGCATAGCTAATGTTGCAGAATCTATGTCTTGGAAGATCGAAAGGGCATTGGAGAGGTGGAAACTAGCAGTTCAGTGGAGGCTGAGGTATAAGAGAACCCTTGTGGATTGCATAACTTATTGTTCCGATGTAATTGACTGTATTCAGTCTCCGCGTCCCCTCGAAATGGAATGTGCTGACTGATGTTTGAATCATTGGACACAAGATTTCGTTTTATCCTCTCTTTATTTTTCCCAGACAAGCTAGGATACAAGATACTTCTAGGGAGCAATAACAGAACTTATGTTTGTCCTTTTGCACGAGTAATATCTTGCATTAGTATAGTGAATGGCAGGATTTGATGAAGTCATCTCTGGCAATTTACATTTTGTGTTAGTAGCATGTCCAATCTCAGGCTATGAATTTTTCGGCTGACTCTTCAGAACATCGAGTTCGAAAAGGTTAGTTACTTGAACTGTAACCCAGCACACTCTGCAATGGTCCCTCGGATTCAGTTGCTCAAAGATCAATGCTGGATATGTATGTGATGATATATAGTTATGGTTTTCTGTGGTATACAGGCCTTGATTAACCATGTGTAAAGGGTGATTGGGCAAAAGCTCAAAATGTTTCTATCATTTGGTTTCGCATTCCATATTGTGTAATTCGAGGTTTGTGATAGACTGGGTTCCTCGTATCTCCCACAACAATCGAAATCGTCAGTTCAGATTTCGATAGCTTTGTTACTGACTTTTGTTGATCTCACAAATCATTAGATGAATCATACTTTGGGGTGAGTTCAGCTACCAAAGGACACAATCTGTTTGAATTCTGGCTAATTAATAATTTACATTTGTTTTATGAAAAAACGAATAATTTAAAATATATATATATTTTTAAATAATAGCTTGTAATGAAATCATTTTCCTCAATTATTTATTTCAACTGATGCAACGGGTCATTCTCAAAATTTTATTTTTTCACAACACAGATAGAACTTGAATTGCAAGTTCCTTTTCTCGCATATCTTTTGGAAAAGTGTACCCTTACGAGCACATCAATCCTAAGTTATTTACAGTTATGGTAATTTGATATATTAGATGTTTCTGATTGCAAATTGCATGTTCCAAAGGATCCGGAGGATCCCGGATTCAATTTCATTCCCAACACTAAGAAATTCATACACCAGCATAAAACGGTTGGCTATTTTGTTCTTATTTCTTTCTTCCATTTAAATGCACTTCAAGTTCAGATACATCCTCAAAAAAATTTAGTACTTTTTAGGGTTTATGATGGAGGGGGCCGAGACAAAGATGGATCAGACACCTGGCTTGGATTTCTCAGAAGAGAGAAAATAGAGTTCGCACAGTTTAATCAGCGTCGATCATCTGGGGAAATAATCATCACCTCCACCTTCATCTCAAGAATCCCCTCCACTTACTTAAACCCTAATCCAATGTTCAGGTTCTGCCCTGAATTCAAATCGGCTGAAAAACCAACCCAATTCCTCGTCGTCGACTCGAGCGAATCGATCGAGCGAGACCCAAAGGGAAACTTCGGTGGCCGCGAGAAAAAACCAAAATTTTGTTTTTGTTTTTGTGTTCGGGAAGAGGAGTGAATTGGATCAGCAATACTGGCTTGGTTCCTCAGCGAAGAGGAACGCTAAAAAAAAGCGCACAGTATAATCAGCGTCGATCATCTGGGGAAATAGTCATCATCTCCAAACCTCCTCTCTTCCCCACACACAAAAAACACATTTCAGCAAACACTCGAACTGCATCGCTTTCGAGAAAAAGAAAAATCTTTTTCCTTTTTTTAACCGAATGTCTCCAATCTGCCCGATCGGAGAGCCAGAAGAACAGGGCACTGCGAGGCAGAAGCGGAGGCAGACATGGACGAATCTAGCGTCAGCTCATACACAGCGCTCACGGTGAGTCACACAGCGCAGGTAATCAGTATTTTGACGCGTTTTTCACGACCCAGAAGCAGCAAAAACACAAGCAAAAAAGGGGGGGAAGAAGAAGAAGAACGGAGAGGAAGGACACGGGGAAGAAGAAGCAATCGATTCTCACTTCAACCGCCGCAGGAGAAGCTGGATCTTCCACGGTCGCAGACTACAATTGCGATTGAGTTTGCCAAGAACCCTCGTTTTATATAGAACAGAGGCGGACGAGGCGCAAGAACAAACCCTAGAAGTAGCAAAACGAACGACGGCGCGAGTTTGGGAAGATTTATGACCAGAGCATCGGCGGATGTGATTTGGACACGTGTACGGCGGATGTGCTGGTGCTTCTCCCGGGGGGAATGGGCCCAACCCCGCCCAATGCTCTTGGTAAGCCCAGCCCAACGTCAAAACAGATTCATGTCCATTTGCTTAATTCGGCAAGTTTAAGATTATTTTGGCCAGCAAACAAACGTAAAATAATTTTGGGAAAATGAAACGAATAGTCTATGAACTTTAGCACAATGTGCAATGTGGTCCCTGAATTTTTAATTTGTTCAATATGGTCTCTGATCTTTAGTCCAATGTGTAATATGGTTTCCGAACTTTTAATTTGTTCAATGCAGTCACTGAACTGTTGGTACATGTTCAATTTAGTTCTTGGACTCTATGAAAATGTTTGATGTTTCCCCTGATCTCGAACATGTTCATATAGTTCAAGGACTACACTTAACATGTACCAAAAGTCTTGGGGCCAAAATTGAACAAATTAAAAGTTCAGGGACCACGTTGTATATTGGACTAAAGTTCAGGGACCATTTGTGTCATCATCCCTATAATTTAGGAGTTGCTTGTCTGCAGTTATTCCATGCTTAAATTACCAATACAGCTTCTCCTTGGTGTAGGGATGAGCTGAAGATAGCGATTGTCCCATGATTTTAGTTACCAAGATAGCATCTCTTTGCTGAATTTGGTTTAGACAATTTGATCGGTTTTACGCTCTTTCCACTTGCTTTTGCTGCTAATCAATTTAATGCGTGTTCATACTGTTTATTCTGGATTGTTCATTGACGATGCGATTTTTTGTGGAAGTACCGACATCATGTGCAGAAATGTCGAGGCTATTGAACATTGATTAGAAGCAATTACAAGCAAAGATGACAATGCCCTCATTCTGAAACACCACCTCTGATCTCTTGAAAACTAATCAAACACGATCAAATTACACGAGTACAGGAAAAACCGATGACAACAGTGAACTTTTGTTGTAGGAAAATCTAAAATGTAATGAATTTGATCCCTCGGGGAATCATGAGCAAGGTATGATAGTTGGTTCCATAGCTCTAGAGGTATCCCTATCGCACATGTCGGGGGTTATGTTTACCACTCTTTCTTCCTGCATTTGAAACTCATAAGTTAGTGCTAATGGTCAAAATGATCCCCGGTTTCATCTGCTTGAGAAGGGGGAAAGAAACAATTCATCTTGTCCAACTCAGTGGAAGACACAATTTCGACAAGCGATATTAGAATGTCTGGCACATGCTACATATGACATCGTCCTACTAACTCGTGAAAACTGTGTTCTGGACTTGCGGGGGACAGTATAAAATAATTCGACAAGGAAAGTTGAACAATTTACCCTGGCTAGATTCCTAAAGTAAGTAGTAGTATAGTTTCCTGTTGGGAATAAAGCTTCCATGAGATCTGCAAGAACCAACTGAGGTTGGGAGACTGCTCCGTCAAACCAATCTTCAATTATACACATCCCAAAAGCAAAGAAAATTGTATTAGCACCTTCCCAGAAATCAAGTAATATGTATCACTCAAATAAATATGTTTATTAAATTAAACACTTTGGTATGATTCTTGTACTCCTTTTTTTTTGTTAACAGTCGGTTGTCCAGGAGTCTTCGAGTACCCAGTGACTTATTGCATATAGTCAGTTCTTGCTAAAATGTCAAAAGTCGAGCAAGCTTAGACTATACTGTTAGTAGTCACGTTCTTTCTCAGTAGGAGTTCATTGCAACCCTATGTAGATAAAAATTGGCTACTTAGTACTTACCAAGAGTGTTGCTGGCGTTTTGCAATCTTTTATCATATCTCCACAGGTTTTGATTTGCAAGAAATGCAAAACAAGAGGTATCTTCAACTGCTACATTCTCAACAAAAGTTGACATTTCGTAGCCCATGGGATTGGAAGTGTATGTTCCGTCGATGACCACATCGACAGTCTGATTACACCAGCAATGGAATTGACCAAGTTAGAAAATAATCAGCGACACAATTACACTTCAAGCACAAACCGAGTTTCTGGTATTTCATGGAATTATAATCTCAGATAAAGCCTGAAGCACAAAGGTGAGGGATCTAAAGTAATCTCTAGGCATGGACTTACACATAAGATGGCATGCAGCTGCTCCAAATCATCAGGATTGGAGGTGTTGTAAGTGATCTTGCTGATCGATTCATCAACATTCTCTCCTCCAGCATCCTCCACATACTGTTTCGAAACATAATTCATAAAGTACAGTGAAGAAAAAGCAGAGGAAGCATTTTCAAAATTCAACACCTCTCTAATCCGTAGCTAGTAAAAATAGAGCTCCTTCAAGTGCATCTGCCTATTTTGTACTTGAAAATTTTGCTGGCCTTCGCAACCATACTCGTAATGGCTAGACTAGCATTTGTGCATGTCTTTTAACTTTACAAGATTCAAGGCTTCCTTTTGAAAGGCACAGTTCTTGTTTTAGGAAACCAATTGCTATCATGACTTACCTTCATTTTGAGTGTTTCCTCGGTAAAGGACCATATTTTCTGCAAAAAAAAAAACGAGCAATTTCTTGTCAGCGACTTGTCAAGTTTTGCATGACAGTGATAATTGCGTAGAAATCGTTGAAGGAGTGTTCGATCTGAACCGTATTTAGTTTGGACTGATTTGTGCAGCTTGTTTTTGATAATGCAGGATTAAATTCTAGATGATGATAATTCAGAATTGGAACTCCATTTTATTTGTGTGATCTGGAAAGTTTAAGAGCAGTAAAAAGCCTTGATGAGAGTATACAAACATCATTGTACTCCATCCAGGCAACTGTTGGTTTGACTGATGAAGCTTTGCTTGCAGCAACCCTGGCCAGGCACAAATAATTTTCTTTAACCTAGAAAGATATGCGGAAATCAGATGACACTTCATACAAAATTCTCTCTTTAATTCAGCAGAATTGTACAGATGGAATGTGAGTACTTACAGCATTGTACACTTGATTGGCTTTATATTCCAGGTTAGCATAAACTCCAAGGTACTTTATCCATTCTGCTCTCTGTTAATTCCATCCAAAGAGAAAATGTAGGAATTGGATTGTACTAATTAATGGAAAAAGGAAGTATAAACATGAATCATCACTGGTAAACTCTCTCACCTGCAAAGGAAGGATTTCGCTGGAAGGAACAAATGATGCGAAGTTACAAGCTTGTGCTTGATCAGTGTTGCTAATAAAATGTGCCAAGAATTGCTGAAATTGCTGAGGATTGCTCTTGTTAATCATCTCGAGTTCTCCTCCTTCGCATAACTTTAGTACGCATTCAGAGGCAACGGAGTCTGTTGTAATGCCCTTTAAGCTCCCAAGTAAGCCTAAAAGCTGTACATCAAGAAGGCCATCTAAAATGGTTATGATAATATGCATATACTCATTTTAGATCGTGAAGACATCAACTTGGTTTGACTCTGATTCCAGAGAACCGATATACACTTACCTCAAAAAAGGAAACTGCAAGAAAAGAAGGAACATGAAAAGAAAGAGATGGTTAGAGAAGACTATTTGACATACTAAATCTAGATGACATTACTATGATGATGCAGCGCTGGACTTCTAGTATCTTTCTTTCGTTTTGTCCCATCTTGTTATGTGATTGTTGCTGATGTATATAGTTTCGACAAGTGTGAAGATCAACATAAAGGCCACTGCAATTTAAATATACGATGGACAAGAGAGATACCTGGAAAAAGTTCGGCATCCACTGAATAGTTCGATAGGGGAATGATGAATGATTTGATCCTGGAAGTGCAATATTTTGTTCTCGATGCCATCTTTGAGTTACTCTGTCATATATTGTGTAGAGGAGTGTCAAACTAATTTCTTAAGAAAAGTAATTACCTATCTGGAGGAAATTTTTTTGTAGTATCTCTGTTTTTCGCAGTTAGTGAACCAGATCAAATGCTGATAAGCCAGCTTAATCTCATTGTGTATGATATTTAGGTCGATATTAAGAACTGGGATATTCCTAAAACAGGGCATCTGTCACAAGTTAAACAAGAGAAAAAATCCAATAAACTTGGACCCTCCCTAAAACCTTTCTAGCAACTAAAACTGCAATATAAGAGCCAAGCACACACTGAAATTTTGCTCTAAAGCTTTTTAAACTAATGTTGTGACTAGTTAAGCAAAAGCTTGTGTTTATGGTGATTATGTCCTACTGA